GTTTTCAGGGTTGGCTGAGTTACATGTACAGTGCTTAGGCCACCTGGAGAGAGTAAGAGTGGGATAGGTGAGGATGTGGAGTCTGTTGCATTGCTGTCTGCAGCTGGCATCCTTCTTGTCTTGTTTTGAGTTGCTCACCTCTGTCTGCTCACTAAGGTGTAGATTTGAGGAATGTTCCCGTTTCTTCCCAGGCAGCAGGGGCTCGGGCTGTGCTGGAGTCAGCTAGGCTAAGGGGCTGGTCTGGCATCTGCATTACCCTATCACCTCCTCAGTGTTTTCTCCAGGCCTGGATCTGTGCTGTGTGGAGACCTGTATTCCTCCCTCCTGCCCACACTGACTCTCCCTACCTTTCTTCTTGAGAGTGCCGAGCCCCTCCCATGTGTTCTTGTTCACAGCCTCTTCAGGATCCCGAGAAGAGGCTGGGGAAGACGGTGCCCAGGTGCCCTGGGTAAACAAGGCCACCTGACTCCACGGGAATGGAATGGGTGGAGGGGATCTGAGGTCTGCATTTTGAGTATCTCTGCTCTCAGAGGGTGAAGCATATGGTAGGGGTGGAGAGTGGGATGGAAGAATCTGAAGTCTTAAAGAAAATGGCAGTTATTTGTAGGGCAGGGCCGTGTTGAGACTTGGCATGCTTCTTTTTAAGAATCAGTGTTGTAATTTAGGTATAAGTGAAGCAGTACTTTGTATTAGTTTCCTGTAGGCACTGTAACAAAGCACCACAAACTGGTTGACTTAAAACAACAGACATGGCGGGGCATGGTGGCTCACTGTAATCCCAGCACTTTGGGAGGCTGAGGTGGGCGGATCACAAGGTTAGGAGATTGAGACCATACTGGCTAACACAGTGAAACCCTGTCTCTACTAAAAATACAAAAAAAAAAAAAAAAAAAATTAGCCAGGTGTGGTGGCACACACCTGTAGTCCCAGCTACTTGGGAGGCTGAGGCAGGAGAATGGAATTCACTCCGGAGGCAGAGCTTGCAGTGAGCTGAGATTGTGCCACTGCACTCCAGCCTGGGTGACAGAACAAGACTCCGTCTCAAAAAAAAAAAACAAAAAACACAGACATTTACTCTCTGGTAGTTCTGAAGGCCAGAAGTTGAAATCCAGATGTCAGCAGAATTGGCTCCTTCTGAAGGCCCGACGGGAGGGTCCTTCCTGGCCTCTTCCCTGGCGTTCCTGGGCTTGTGGCCGCGTCACTCCACTCTGCCCATCTTCACACTCCCTCTTGTCTGTGTGTCTGTTTCTCTGTTCCTCATGAGGACACTTGGCATCCAGGGCCCAACCACACCGAGTCCCTGGTCTTCTGTGGCTGACTCACCTTTTACTGTCACCTTGAAGTCCAAGGGGTCCTTGCACTTGATGTTCTCTCCTGGCGAGGGCCAGGGCCCTGGGATTGGCCTCTCGTGGAGTGCTGGGCAGAGCCTCCATGGCCTCTCTCAGGGTGGGGGCTACTTCATCTCTGAGTCTGTACCCCTCGTGTCCTAGGCAGTGGAGTCGGGGTGAAGAAGCTGTGTGAGCTGCAGCCTGGGGAGAAGTGCTGTGTGGTGGGCACTCTGTTCAAGGCCATGCCGCTGCAGCCCTCCATCCTGCGAGAGATCAGCGAGGAGGTGAGGCAGGGCACTACACGGCGGGGCCGCCAAGCAGACCTGGCCTCCCCCTAGAACACCTCCGTGGGGGCGGGGGTGTGGGGAAGCAGGTTCAGAGATGATGGGCTCCAGAGGGGTGGGGGCTGGGGTGCCAGCTCACTAACACCAGAGCCTTGATGGGCTCTGGCCTCAAGATTATACCTCCTGTCTCTGCATTCCAGCACAACCTGCTCCCCCAGCCTCCTCGGAGCAAATACATACACCCAGATGATGAACTGGTCTTAGAAGATGAACTGCAGCGTATCAAACTAAAAGGCACCATTGATGTGTCAAAGCTGGTTACAGGTAGGGAGCCCAATGAGGGGGTGAGGGTGATGCAGGTGAACAGCCCAGCAGTGGTGTGTTAGGGATGGGTGTGAGTGGGGAGCCTGGGGGGATGTGCAGGGGGGTGTGGCCTGGGCACACGTGTGTTCTTGAGGAGGTAGGTGAGGCTGCAGGTGGCCAGAGGCCATCAGATTGGGTGAGACCTGGCTGGGAGATGGGTCTCCCCACCTCCATCCAAAGGCAGTGACCCCAGGAAGCAGGCATGCCTCCGGGAGTCATAGGTGAGAATTCACCAATGTGGTTGTGGAGGACTGGCTGGTTTTGCCTGTTGGGGTGACTGGAGGAGTGGTAGCACCTGGGGCTCCCTGATCAGGCCTGATGCCGCTGCTCCCCAGGGACTGTCCTGGCTGTGTTTGGCTCCGTGAGAGACGATGGGAAGTTTCTGGTGGAGGACCATTGCTTTGCTGACCTTGCTCCCCAGAAGCCCGCACCCCCACTTGACACAGATAGGTGAGCAGCAGTTCTCGGGGGCCGGAACCAGCTCATGGTCAGTGGAATCTTTGAGTCACACCTAGGAGGGGCTGCCTCCCTTCTTGGCACCCTGGAGGACCCCACTTTCTCTCATAGGTTCGTGCTGCTCGTGTCAGGCCTGGGCCTGGGTGGAGGTGGAGGTGAGAGCCTGCTGGGCACCCAGCTGCTGGTGGATGTGGTGACAGGGCAGCTTGGGGACGAAGGGGAGCAGTGCAGTGCCGCTCATGTCTCCCGGGTTATCCTCGCCGGTAACCTCCTCAGCCACAGCACCCAGAGCAGAGATTCTATCAATAAGGTATGGAGCCCGCCTGGCTGCATTCAGCCCCAGCCCAGGAGGCTGCAAACCTGTAAGACTCTCCTTCCCCATGGCGAGTTGGGTACCCTGTGGGGTCTTGCAGGTCGGTGGGAAGCGCCCTGCAGTGACACTGGGGCCTCCTGCACTGGGGCTCCTTGTGCCCAGGCCCTCGCTGAGGGTGGTGAGAGGCTAGAAGGGAGTGAGGGTCTATGGGACAACATCTGCATCTTCCAGCTGGTGGGACTCTGCTCTCCTCTGAGCCTGGGACTCGCCTGGGCCTGATGGCTTCCTGGGCTTCTATTCCAGGCCAAGTACCTCACCAAGAAAACCCAGGCAGCCAGCGTGGAGGCTGTGAAGATGCTGGATGAGATCCTCCTGCAGCTGAGTGTGAGTGAGCTGGATGCTGGAGGGGTGATGAGGATTGCAGTCTTCAAAGCTGCCACTGGGCAAGAGAAGGCAGGCAGGAGGGCAGGGGGAGTGGCTGGAGTTGGGGTAGGGGGCTCCTTTGGGGCTGAGCTCTCCCTGCCCTGTGCCTTCCAGGCCTCAGTGCCCGTGGATGTGATGCCAGGCGAGTTTGATCCCACCAACTACACGCTCCCCCAGCAGCCCCTCCACCCCTGCATGTTCCCGCTGGCCACTGCCTACTCCACGCTCCAGCTGGTCACCAACCCCTACCAGGCCACCATTGATGGAGTCAGGTAGCTGGCACAGCCACACTTCAGTCTGACCCAGCCTTTTGCCTCAGGAGGCACAAAGAGGGGAGGGGAGGGAGGGTCCAGGAAGGTGGCAGGGCTGCAGAGGCCCACCTGGTGTCTGTTCCTTCTCTCTGGGGCATCCCCACAAGAGCGCCAGATGAGCTCTGGGCTGACCACTATGGGTGGCACCCGTAGCCAAGGGTCAGCTGAGCTTTGCCTTGCAGATTCTTGGGGACATCAGGACAGAACGTGAGTGACATTTTCCGATACAGCAGCATGGAGGATCACTTGGAGATTCTGGAGTGGACCCTGCGGGTCCGTCACATCAGCCCCACAGCACCTGACACTCTAGGTAACAGGCTCAGCCATACGGGGTGGGAGCAGAGGGCCAGGAGGCCTGGCAGGACCCTGAAGTGCACAGGGTCCCCCTGTGGGTTTGCACTTGCCAGCATTGCTGAGAGCTGAGGAGAAGTTCAGAGGCTTGGCACCTGCTCTGGAAGCTACTCTGGAATCTTAATTCTAAGGCCAATGGCTCCCCACCCCGACACGCAGCAACAGCAGGGCCAAGGTCTTGTGACAGTATCTGGAGGTGCTCCTGTTGTCACACTGGGGGTCTCCTACTGGCCTGCAGTGGGAGGAGGGGCTGCAGCCCCACATCCTGTGCAGAGTGCTAGTGCTGAAGCTGGAACCCTCCTCAGAGCTGCCTGTTCTCCTGCAGGTTGTTACCCCTTCTACAAAACCGACCCATTCATCTTCCTAGAGTGCCCGCATGTCTACTTTTGTGGCAACACCCCCAGCTTTGGCTCCAAAATCATCCAAGGTAATTTTTGTCTTCTGGGGGCCCAGGCCTGATTTGCTGATTCACTCTCACCTGGGAACAAGGTTCTCACCTGGGGACACAGAAGAAAACCTGCATTGTGGAGTCCCCCCAGCTCTTGTGGGATGGACGGCTGAGGTCTGCTGTGCAGCCATTATTTCACTGTGGGAGCCAAGCTGCCTGGCCAGCTGGGCAGGGGCTAGAACAGCTCCCAGCCTGTGTGCTTCTCAAGGCTAATCTCTGGTCTCCTATTGTCACTGCCCCACTGTGTGCCAACGGGGACTCCTGTTTATTTCTGGCAGCTTCTCTTTGAGGCAGGACTTACTTGGAACCTACAGTGAGTCCTATGTGACTTCTTTGCAGGTCCTGAGGACCAGACAGTGTTGTTGGTGACTGTCCCTGACTTCAGTGCCACGCAGACCGCCTGCCTTGTGAACCTGCGCAGCCTGGCCTGCCAGCCCATCAGCTTCTCGGGCTTCGGGGCAGAGGACGATGACCTGGGAGGCCTGGGGCTGGGCCCCTGACTCAAAAAGGTGGTTTTGACCAGAGAGGCCCAGATGGAGGCTGTTCATTCCCTGCAGTGTTGGCATTGTAAATAAAGCCTGAGCACTTGCTGATGCGAGCCTTGAGCCCTGGGCAGTCTGGGTACAGGACTCCTGCAGGGGTACCCACAGTGACCATAGCCCCTGCACCCACCAGCCTGTCTCCCTCCTCCTCCCCATCCCTGACCCCTCAGAATGTGAGCAGTCCGTGCCATGAGCTTGTTTTATTGGAGTGACCTCGGCTCCCTCCCTCTGCCACTACTACAACACTGCAGCAACCCCATCTCTTACGAGACTGGCAGGTGGAGCAGGAGCCTCCACACAGCTTCTGGCTCTTAGGTCCCGGTCATGTTTGCACCCCCTCAAAGGGGCAGGACCAGCCCTTCCTTTCAGTGTCCACACCAGGGGCCTTCCGTGTGCTGATGGGTGATGTGACTGTGGTCAGCAGGCTTGGGAAGTGCTACTGCTGTAGCTTGAGCTGGGCTGGGGCCTTGGTAGGACCCTGATCTCAGAAGTCCCCAAAGTTCACTGTGTAGGTCTCAACTGTTGTGAAGGGGAATGCCTGGCCAGTGGCTATCTCCTCTTCCTCCTCCTCCTCCTCCTCCTCCTCCTCCTCAAACTCAGGCTCCAGCTGGGTCTCAAACTCAGGCTCCAGCTGGGTCTCAAACTCAGTCTCCAACTGGGTCTCAAACTCGGGCTCCACCTTGGTCCCAAACTCGGGCTCCACCTCGGTCCCAAACTCGGGCTCCACCTCGGTCCCAAACTCTGTCACCACCTCTGTGTAGGTCTCAGTCTCCGACTCCTCCCAGCCAGCGGTGGTTGGGGGTACAAGGCCCCAGGGCTCTATGGTAGTGCTCAGGGTGGTGGCAGGGGCAGGGGGCAGCGTGGAAGGCACAGTGTGGGGGCCTAGGGTGGTGGTGGCGTTGAGGCGCCGCAGCCGCATCTGTGCCCGAAGCCGCAGACGGTGCTGTAGGCGCCGCTGCTGCAGGCGTCGCTGCTGGGGGGTCATAGGGCGCGATGGGTCTATGTGTGGGATAGGCCGATTCCCGTTCATGGCCATGATCTCCCGGATGCGCTTCCAGTTGGAGCGAGCCAGGATGAAGTTGCACTGAGTGGCCCCGATGTCATAGTCAACATTACAGGTCTTGGCACTCGGGGTGTAGCCCTCCGCGTGGGCTGTCACGCGGTACTCACCCGGGTTCAAGATTCGCCAGTAATCACCACCACTGGCTGCGGAGGGAGGAGGGAGGACGATCCGGCTGCCCCAGAGCGCCCCTCCCAGGCCCCCCACCCTCCCACTCAATCCTGCCCCTAGGCCCCGCCCTCCCCGAGTCCTGCCCCTAGGCTCCGCCTCCCTGGTTCCGCCCCCAGGCTCCCCAGACTCTGCCTGCTCCCTGAGTTCCCCAAGCCCCCATCCTCTCTGGCAGGGTCCTCCCTCAGGAAGGTGGGGTAAAGATGTGCACACTAGGTACCTGTCTTCACGCCGTGATTAATGCCACTCACAGAGATGGTGGCATTGGCAATGGGGATGCCTTGCTCGTCTGTCACCACCCCCTTAATGCCGCGGTGCACCTGGGGAAGCAGGTGAGGGCTGTTGGTCCTGAGGAAGGTCCAATGTGGTCCGCTGCTCCCTCCCGCCCGTCCAGGAATCTCTGCAGCCTCCTCTCCCCAGGCATTGCCCTGGCCACCCCACCTGCTCCATGAAGGTGAGCAGCGCCTCCTTGTTGTTCTCCCACTCGCGGGGCAGCTCACTCTCATGAGGGAACTTGTCACAGCCCAGGTAGAAGGAGAGCTCCAGGCAGTTGGTATGCAGATAACTGAAGTCATTGATAGCTGGCCGGGGACAGACACAGACCCAAAGTCAGCCCCTCTCCGGATTAGGCCCCGCCCACAGCCCCTTCCAGGCTGACTCACTCCCGGACCGGGGGTTCCACTTGGCCCCGTTGACGATGCCCATGCCGCCGGTGTAGTCCTGGGCTTGGCAGCCTCCGCGATAGGGCTCGGTCAAGGTGAGGTGGGCGGAGGCGAAGGAGATGGCAAGCCAGCGGAAGATGGCGTGGTCTGGGGTCTCCTGGGCCTCAGAGACCTCATCCTCATCCTCCCCGCGGGCGGCTGCCATGGCTGCGGCCAGCAGCTGCTCCTGGGTAGGCGTTCGGGTCATGTCGTAGGGGTAGGATACTAGCCGCTCACCGCCGTTCAGATTTGCTCCCAGCACGAAGGGGTTCTTTTCCATCCAGGCAATGATGGCTCGGACCTCTGTGGATACCTGGAGTGGCCAGCACATGTGAAGCCAGGGCTGTAGCCTCCAGCCACCATCCCCAACCTAGCCCATCACCCTCCATGAAGCTTCACACCAGTACTCGTACACTCCCCTGTCCCCCAACCCCCAGAGCCTCAGCGTCTGGAGCTCAGGCACCGTCAGCCCCACCCCCAAGCCCAGAACACCAGGACCCCAGGGTCCAGCTGCTCCGTCCTGCCCTCTCAGCCAGGCTGCAGCCTCACCGTGGCATCTGGCGAAAGGTAGCGTTCAGGGATGGGCAAGTTATTGTTGGGGACCCGGTAGGGGACCCATTTCCTCTCCTCAGCTCCCCAGAGCACAGAGTTGAGATCCGGGAAATCTTCAAAGATGTCAAAGCCCTCCTCGGTCCACAATCCCAGCGCCCAGTTCCCAAACTCTGAGCCCTGTCGAGAGCCAGCAGGGTAGGCATGGGCCACCCATACCCCCACAAGCCCTGGCTGCCTGGCCCCGGCCAGCCTCACCCCTCAACCCACCATCTGCGCTGCCACCTCGTAGCCATCAGGGTTCAGTGAGGGCACCAGGTGGATGCGTGTGTCCTGCACCAGGCTGCGCACACGCGGGTTCCCATCGCGGTACTCGCGGCACAGGTACTGCATGAGCAGCAGCAGCAGCTCTCGGCCCAGCACCTCGTTGCCATGGATCCCAGCAGTGTAGCGGAACTCGGGCTCCCCTGCAAGGGCAGGAGCCTCAGTGAGCACTCAGTCTCCCAAGGCCCAGGGCAGCTGAGGAAGGACCCAGACCCACCTCACACCTGAGGGTCTGGGGGACAGCTGGGGCTCCTAGGGCCCTGTAAGACAAGCCTGAATCCCCAGAGGGGCTCCAGAACAGGTGGGAGGCGGTGAACTCTGCTCACCAGCAGCGCAGGCCAACTGCTGGCCCCCACAGACTCTCACCCAGTTCATGCTCCCCAGGGTTGTCTGAGATCTCCATGGCATAGATCTTGAGGCCTCGCGAGCTTTTGCCCAGGCTGTAAGTGCGGGTGATGGTGGGGCACTCCTCATTCACCACCTTCATGAGCTGGGGCAGAGGGGGAGGACATGGAATCAATCACGCAATCCGCCCCCCGCTGACCATGCCCCTTCCATCCACTTCCAGTGCCTGCTCTATGGCAAGGGACAGGCATGACCCCTTCAGGCAGCCCCCAGGTACTGGCCTCCTTCCTAAGGTGAGGGACAGCCAGCGTCCCTGGAACCAGTAGGGACTGGGCCCTGTGACACCAGGCACACACTCCCCTGTCAGACAGACAGGTTCCACCCCCAGCCCCAGGATAGATGTTCCCAACCTGGCGCATGTCCTTGTAGCTGTGGTGCCGGAAATCCAGGTCATCGGTGGCCACCACCTCGTTCTGTGCATAGTAGCTGTAGACAGCTGCAAGGGAGGCGGGGTTGTCTTTAGCCGGGTGCTGGGTGGCCCACCCTAGCACCCCACCTCCCCTCCGAGCCCCTGCCAGCCCTCCACACTCACGGGCCACAGGGCACCCCAGCACCTCCAGGCGCATGCACAGGCTGCCATTCCAGGTGAGTGGGTAGATGCGGATGAAACGGGCCACCACCGGCTCTGGGAGCTCACTCAGCACGGGTGTGTCCTTGTCCACGTTCCCATGAAAGGTCTGGGGAGAGGCAGGCCTCAGAGCAGTACTGCCAACCCCTCTGAGAGCCCGCCCCCCGCCCAGACAATGGGAGCAGAGCCAGGAGCCTGGGCATGGTGCCCACCATTTCCTCATAGCCGTTGGTGTACATCACCCACGTCTGGCTGTCGTTGCTGAAGCCCACGAAGAAGGTGGTCACAAAATCGTCACTGTGGAGTGGACAGTGGTCACAGCAAGGATCTTCCCCTTCCCAGGCCCTCAGGTGGCCTGAGCCTCCCTCTTCTGAGCCCCAGGAATTTAAGAGCTAGCAGGGCGGTGGCGCACAGCCCAGGTGTTGAGCCTGGGTCCTGTGCCTGTCACAGCCATTGGCAGGTGGTCTGTCCCTAAACTCATGTGCTCATCAGGACACAGGAGCTGACTGACCATGGCTGAGGAGTGGGGATGGGCAGGGTCAGCCCCTCACTGATCTTTTTGGCCTTCTTTGGCTGGGCCAAAGAAGGGCCCACTGGAATCTCCTTAATGGGACACAAAGCCATGCCTATGGAGCCACTCCCCCCTGCCAACTACCCATGAGCCTGGCCACGCACTGGATGCTGGAGTCTCGGCCCTGGGTGATGACGCCTGTGAACCGGGTAGTCCTCCTGGTGTCCACCTCTATCCACTGGGTCCTGGCATCGTCCTCGGCACACCATGCGCCATCATAGTAGTCGTCCTCGGTGGCACCGGCCTGTCCAGGGGGCAGGGGAGGCTGAGCATCGGCAGAGGAGTCCATCATCCCAGTTGGGAGATGGGCCCATCCCAATGCCCACCTGCATGTTGAGCCGGCCGCGCTGTGCCCCCAGGCCGTGGCGCAGCATGGAGGAGGCTCGGATCTGGTTGTCCTCGATACGGTGTGACTCCATCCCAATGGGGGGACACTCTGAGGACGCGTACCCCAGACTGGTGGCTCACTAGCTCCATCCTTCCCACCACCAAACCCAGAACCAAGGAGCCCAAAGCCCACTCCCGGCACATCGGGGACACCAGTCAGAGGGCAGCTCTGGTTGGCTGATGGCTCCCTGGTGCCCTGCACCAGCCCACCTGGAATTGACTCAAAGCTAGGCCAGGAGCTGCTTCCAATCCCAGCCTGTGCTTCCCCTCCCTGGGCCTCAGCTGCCCCATCTGGAGAATGAGCTGACCATGCCCAGCTCTCAGGGGACACACGTGAAATCACAGAACTCCCCCAGGGCGCAGCTACAGATGGGGACCGTCTGCACAATGGCCCTGTAGGGACACCTGTGAAGGTAGCTGAGGTCCTCACTCCCCACCAAGGCCTCAGGTCCTCCCCCTACCATGCCCAGCCGCTAGGGGCCCTGGGGAGCTGCCACCCTCCTGAAGTAGGCCAGCCTGGGGTCCAGGGCTGGGGCAGCCAAGTGAGGCTGTCCTGGGCTCCCGGGGCCCCTCCGTTCTGGGTCCCAAGAATCTAAGAGTAGGAAAGGGTTTCAGGGGCCTGGGTCCTGTTTGTGGCCTTGGGCCAGTCACTTGTCCCAGCACCCCCATCCTGTGGCCCCCACCCTTACCCCCCTGGGCCCCCCACTTACTGACTTTCTCTGTAGGCGTCCACTCCTCCTCCACCTCCTCGCCCTTTCGGGGCTCTAGGGACAATGAAGGGAGGACATGGCACCAAGGGCCTGGGAGGCAATCAGGAGTCCAGATGTTGCCCCACAGGGACCCAGGCCCTGAGCCCCAGTCACACACCTTTATGGTCCTTGCCCTTCTCCACTGCCCACTTGTCGGTCTCCTCCTTGGGCCTGCCATCCTCCTTTTTGGGTTTCTCTGGAAGGTACAAGGTAGGAGGGCCCAGTCAGCCTGGCTCTGGGCTTTGGGGGCCACGTGGGATGGGTCAGGCAGGCCCCAGGTGGCCTTCAGGGCAGGCCTAGTGCAGGAAGTGCTTGGTCCCACTCACTCAGCTCCTCCTTCTCTTCGTCCGTCTGGCGCTCAGCATCGGGCTTCTGGGGTGGAGGAGGCCCAAAGTAATAGTCCACTGCGGGGAGGGAGAGCCAGCTGAGGCCGCCCTGACCCTGCTGCGGGGCCGCAGCTCCTGGGTCCACAGGAGCTCAGCAGGGCAGGACCACGCCAGAGGGGAGGAAGACGGGAGATGGGGGACAGCTGAGTGGGGAGAGAGGGTCCTGCAGGAGTCAGGAGCAGCCCGAGCTCAGGGGGCAGCTGAGCAAGACCCTGCTGAAGTCACCAGCCAGGTCTCCCAGGAGCATCTGGCCTGGTGAAAGGAGGACTCGAGGCCCAGGGCATGAGAAAGGCCTGGAGGGACAACTGGCACCTGTGCCTGGGGTTGCAGGCTGGGGGGTGAGATGGGGGGACATTGGAGGCACTGATGGGGAACTGGGGGCAGGGAGAAGTGGCAATGCGCAGGCTGCCGCCCAGGAGAAAAGGGAACCTGAGGGCTCCAGAGACGCAGGGGCATGAGCAAGGGGGAGGTAAAAGCCCTCGAGCTCCCTGAAGAGAGTGGGGTGGTGGCCACGAGCCAGCGGGAAGCCAGAGCACCGGACTGGGAGGGCTGGAGCCCACATGGGTGAGAGGGCAGAGTGTGTGCCTAGGGACACTCCAGTGGGGGCCACAGCCAAGCAGGAACCAGGGAAGTGGCCAAGGAAAGACCAGCCTGAGGGCAGAGGAGACTGGGCAGCGGCTGGGGTGGGCACCCAGGGACAGCAGGGGCAGCGAGGTAACCACAGGCACAGGTGGGGTTGCAAGGTGGGTGAGTCGCCCCAGCTGGCTCCTGACCACACCCCCGACCCCCACCTGCCTATGTCCCTCAGACTCTGGGGTGCTGGGTACTCACTGTCATCATAATTGGGGATCACGTAGCCATCACCATAGTCAGGGGGCAGCAGGGGCAGAAGAGGCTTCACAGGTGGCTCTGGAGAGGCAGGTAGGTTAGGAGAGAGCCAGAGCACCCGTGGCCAGAGCACCCCCTCTCCTGCCCCCCATCCTACCAATCCTCTCCTCCGGGGCTGGCGCTGGGGCCGGGGCTTTCTCCTCAGGGGGCTCTGGCCAGACCCGCTCGGGCCTCCTCCTTCTGCTTGGGGGTGGCCTGGGCTGCTTCTGGCGCCGAATGTACTCAACTGAGGGGGAGGCCGGCTCTGAGTGGGGCCCAAGGCTGGGATGGGCCCATCGGCGCATCCCCCAGGCCAGGGGTCCGACCCAGGCGGGGCTGGCAGGGCCCTACTCACAGTCCTCATAGTCCTCCCTCTCGATCTGGTCATTGTAGTCCAGTGTGGGTAGCTCAGTCTCCTCCTCCGGCTCTGAGGGGAAAGCGCTGGTAGCTGCCTGACAACCCCACCCAGGCCCACTCTGGGGAAGCCCTCAGTCCGACCAGCCAGGGCAGCTGGCCCTGAGGCCAGGCAGACAACGGCCACTCACCAGGCTGGTGCTCCCGTGCCTCCACACGGGTCTCCTCTCCTGGATTCTGCCAGTTATTTGGGAGGGGCCCCCCTGCAACACAGGAGTTCCAGAAGCAGGTGGACGGGAGGCCTGCTCTGACCACTTTGGGAGCCTCAGGCCACCAGCCACCCACAGAGCCCACACACAGCCTGTGGACACCCTACTGAGGCCGAGCTCACTCCAAGGAGGACTGAGGTCCTCTGGACTTCAGCATCCTGCTGGCATCTCATGGGGCCAGAAAGCTGGGCCCACCTTTTGGGGAACTTACTGTGCTGCTGGAGGCCCTACCACAAAGCCGCCCCCAGCAGGAGAAGGCAGGGGGGAACTCCATGGGCTCAGAGCCCAGGGACATCTGGGCAGGGACCTGGGGACAGAGGTCCCACCCACAAGGCTGCCAAGCCCTCTCCCTACCCAAAAGAGGCTACAGCACTGAGGGAGCCCACCAATCAAATTGTGAAATTTACAGCAAAAGTGAGGTCCCATCAGTGGGGAGCTGAAGGTCTATAGGAAACAGGGCTCCATAAACCTGCCTCCCACTCCCTGCCTCCACCAGAGCAGGCAGTCAGAGTCCCATCACCCCAGAGGAGCCGGGCACAAACCTCCCTCCTGGGGTAGCTCCTCGGGGCCAGGGCTGGGGGGTGGGGGCAGTGGCCACTCCAGGGTTTCTGAGGGAGCCAGAGTGGGGGGCCTCTTCCCTGATGGGGGCTTCTTGGTGGCCTTGGGTGGCTTCTCCTTGGGCTTCTTGGTGGCCTTGGGTGGCTTCTCCTTGGGCTTCTTGGTGGCCTTAGGTGGCTTCTCCTTGGGCTTCTTGGTGGCCTTGGGTGGCTTCTCCTTCCCCTTCTTGGGTGGCTTGGGGGACCCCTCCAGGGACTCCTTGGGCACCTTGGGGCCTTTGTCTTTCTTGCCTTTCTTCCCTTTGTCTTTGGTCTTTTCCGGAGGCACTGTCCAAGACGCAGACTCGTGTCAAATGAACAGAGCCAGCTCTGTGCCCCCATGAGGCCCCTCTCTAGATGCCCAGAACCTGGGCACAGGGACTCTTGTCAGTTCCCGGTGCAGATCAACAAACTGAGAGGTTAAGTCACTTGCCCAAGTGGCAAACTGGGATCCGGACCCGGGTTTTCTGTCTGCAAGTCTGGGTCTGTGACCACCAATCTCAACCTCTCTAAAGACTGAGCATAGGGTGCCCAGTTCCCAGGGAGAGGCCCTCATCCCCCCATCTGCCAAAACCTCAACAGGGGCTCCTTACTATCCACTCCACTATTCTGTGCTGGGCACAGAAGGGGCAGAGAGGTGACTGAGCCATTCAGGCCTGGAGGAGCATCTGGTCATCCCTGCCAACTGCCATACAAAGGAAGGGACATGAACCCAGGACCTTCCCCGGGTCTCCTACAGGGCAAGAAAAGCTTCAGAGAAAAGCACCTACTGTGCTGCTGGAGGCCCTACCACAAAGCCGCCCCCAGCAAGAGAAGGCAGGGGGGAACTCCATGGGCTCAGAGCCCAGGGACATCTGGGCAGGGACCTGGACTTGGCTGAGTATTGAAGCCCAAAGAAGAGGAAGTGGTCCCCTTTCGAGAAGTAAGGGATTTGGAATTGGTTAGAAGGATAGGGAGTCCTGGGCAGTTCAGGGATCACACACAGGACAGAAAGGACAGGTAGGGAGCTTGTGGCTGCTCACTCATTTCAGAGTCTGGGAGAGGGAGCCGGGACTGGTTGTGAGGATTCCCATGGGGAATCAGGACCCTAAGCAGGAGCTGCAAGTGCTGTTGAGAACCTGATGAGAGGTGGGGAGCATGAGGGAAGTTTGGCAGAAACACAGGAAAGCTATCCAATGCAGACAGCCAGGGGACACAGGGCTGCTAGAGTGGTTCCCCAGAGCCAGGGAGAGCAAGCCTGGAAGGAGAGCCAGAGGCAGGAGGGGCACAGGGAGCCCAGGGTGTGGGAAGCAGCCAGGAAAGATCTAGAGCTGGGGTGGCAGAGGAGGGGCTGCTGACATCAGGAATGTTGGATGGTGCCTTGGAATCTCCTGGGAGAGAAGGATCACAAGACCCTCTGCCACCTTCCAGAGGGCCACGATGAAAACAGCTAAGATTTACTGACAACCGATTATGCAAGAGGCTATGGGTTAAATGCTTCAGTGATGCATCACCTCATCTAATTCCCGTACTAATGCAGGACCACCCACTGCTCACCGCCACCTGAAGCCCTGTGGGAAAAGGGGTCTTCAACAACCTTCTCACCTACGTGAGTCCTCCTGGAGTAGGAAGGCAAAGGCAGGAGGGAGGGATGACCTGAAGCTGTGCCACCAACAGGCAGAGTGGATCCATTAGTATGGCAGGGGGTGACACAGCACAGTCCCCTGTGGCTCAAGCCTAGTCCCTGTCGCATACTGGAGGAATGGGGATGAGCGACCTGTTCAACCACAGCACCAACCCTAGAGCCACCGGCCCCCAAAAGTGGCTCTGCCGCCTGGGTGCTGGATGTGCCTACAGGCCAGGGCTGACCTCGGCCTGGCACAGGGTCCCTCCAGGCATCTGGGCTCGCGTGCGCATTAGTAAGCCAGCCATTCCTCCCCAGGCCGACTGGGGAGTGGCCAGACCCTGCCGAATCCCCCTGTTCCCACCTGAGATGTCAACCCCCCACGCCCCCGCCCTGCCCCGGGTTCTTACCTTCTGCGGCCGCCCCCGGCCGCGCCCCTGGCTTGCCCCCCGCCTGGGCTTTTCGGACCCGCGGGGTGGGCTCGGGAGGCGGCGGGGCCTCCATGTCGTCCTCCCGGGGCTCAGGTCCTAGCTCTGACAGGAAGCCCTCGAGGAACTCCTCGATCTCGTCGTCGGTCAGCACCGTCTGCGGGCGCCCTCCGGGGCACAGGGCCAGCAACGCCAAGAGGCAGCCGAGCAGGGGCGCCCCGCGCACGGCCGCCATGGTCGCGGCACGCGCGGGGGGCTCCGTGGAGGGCGCGGGGGGTCAAGGACTCTGGGGGCTCTGGGAAAGGGCGGAGAGGGGATCGAGACGGGTGAGGGAATCCAGGAAGGGGCGGGAGAGACGATGGGGTGAGCAAGGGAATCCGGGAAAGGGCGGGAGAGTGGATTAGGGTGGGCGAGGGGACCCGGGAAGGGGGGTGCTAGGGGGCTCTGAGGCCGGAGGGGCTCAGGGGTGGTCGGGGCGCTCCGAGGCCCTGGCGGCGATAGGCGCTCCGGCCCCGCGTGGCGCACTCGCGCGCGGATAGCCGTCTCCAAAGCGCTGGCGGGGGCCGGGGCGGGGGCGCCGGGGCTTCCGGAGCCGGCTCCCCACCCCCGGGGAGGAGAAGGAGGAAGAGAAGGAGGAGCCGAGAGTGGACGGAGGGGCTGCGGGGGGGCGGGGGGCGGGGGGCGAGGGGCGGGGGGGGGGGGGGGGGGGGCAGGCGGGCGGGCTCTGGCAGCGAGCGTCCCAGGCCCGGAGACTTGCGCCTAGGACAGAGGGGCAGGGGGCGGGGCGACTGGGAAGGCAGAGGGCCTAAATGAAGGAAAGGTGGTGGGGAGGGCCTGGGGTGCGGTTGTGAAGGGGCCGGCATCCCTCCTCCCTCTGCCCTAGGCACCGCCCTTAAGGGGGGACCCCAAGACCACCGGGGCGCTGAACCCTCCGCGGGTGACTAGGAAACCTGGCAGGCGTCTGAGACCTCTCTCAATTTGGAGGGCCACAGAAAGGCCACCCCATCCTTCCCAGGCTCTGGAGCCTCTGCCCATGGGCCCTGCTGCACCCCAGCGTCAATTCAGAATTCAGTCATCCTACCAACCTCTTCAGATCTGTGTGGGGCCAGGCCCTATGCTGGGCCCCAGGGAAGGACAGCACAGTGGGAACTCACTTTCCAGCCGGGAGGCAGGTGCAAAACTGCCCTCAGAGTGGCCAGCTGCCCCGCTGGGGGTAGGAGTCCCATGTAAGGGCATGCCATCCCACCCCTTTGAGTCCCAATGTGGACAAATAGCCATTTCTCACTTTCTTCTTACCAGAACCCATTTTTTAAAAAGTGTCTACAATACCTCCAGCTGCCGCATGGACCCAGAGGACCCAGAGGGCAGGTGGATTGAGCGTCAGCTGATCCCAGGATCCATCAGGGATGTGCACCTTGGTGCCTGGTGTTTGTTGTAAGGCTTCTCCAGGGCAAACGTTGGCTGCCCCGCAGTGGTCATCACAGCTAAGGACAGAGCTCCGAGAACATTCCCCCTCAAAGGAATGAGGAAGCAAGAGAAGACTCACAGGCAGCCCATGGGCCAAGTGCAGAGGCAGACAGCCCTAAGCCACGGTTGTCTGTGGGGATTTGGCCCCAGTGAAGTAGTCAGGTAGGGAAGCCTAGGAGCCCCTCGGATGATTGACAGGGCAGAGTTTGGACCTGGGGTCCAAAGGAAAGAGGAAAAGCAGGTCAGGAAGCACCTGGGTCCCCAGAGCAGCCCCACGTGAGTTGAAGCAGGCAGCAGCCAGGGAGGCCACGGTGGAGGCTGCTGGGCCCAGGATAGGTGCTGCCCCCTGGGAGCAGGACCACAGGGAGGCCTAGCCTCCTCTCACACCTGGTCCTGCCAAGACCCTGCCTTTGCTTTCTCACTGCATCTCCTTGAAAAGGCAGTGGGACTGTGTCAGGTTCCAGCTCTATCTCCCAGGCACATCTCGGCAGGTAGCCTCAGCGCCAACCACCTGTGTCCCTGTTCTCCTTGTGGCTCACACAGGATCATGCATGTGCTGTGCCTAGAACACATTCTCAGCACTCACACTGCTGCCTCTCAGCTCTCATCATTTGCCCTCAGAGATCAACCTGATCTCTACCCATTGGGGATCTCAGAGCAGCCCCTGAGCCCCAACACCCAGGCCTCCCTGTGTACCTGAGCCAGCCTCTACCTGCCATGTGCCCCCAGGCCAGTCTTGGTGGCAGCAAGGATCTGCAAGCTCTCACCTTTCCTCATCCTCCACAAACCTCTGGATCATCTTTCTCAAAACTTGTTCTGGGAATTTGCTCCATTGCCCCCAGTTGAGCATGTCAAGCCCAGCGGCCCAAGGCTGGGTGAAGTGGCATGGCACGTCACTTCCCTGGGAACAACTCACACATGGATTGGATTTGGGCCCAACATCCTCTGCCAGGGAAAATAGAAGCCATAAGAAAACAAAAAAGGAATAGAAGGAGGCTTTTCTTCAGTCACAGTGAGTCACCAATAAAAACATGTGCAAAAGCCTTCATGGAGAGCTGGGCTGCAAGGAGGGCCATGAGGTTGGGGGCCCTCTGCCACCAAGGGTCTGGGCAGGTGGATGGGAGGCAGCTGCTCTCCATGCCAGGCTGATGTGCCTCCCCTTGGGTGGTGGGACTGGGACTCCCACTCCACTTGAAGACCTGTACCAGGAAGTGCTTTAGCCCTGTACCCAGGCTCTGCTACAGGGCTGGTGAGGGGACTTCTCCCTCCGCTGCCAGAGTGAAGCCAGTCAGGGGGATGGGAGGTTTGTAGCTGAGAGCACCTAGCGACTTTCAGGGTCCCTTACCCCTGCCACTCAGCAGGGTCTGCACCTGCATCCAAGTGTTCTCCTGGGCTACAGTGAGGGGCTGGTAGACACTCTGGTGATCCATTTTCAGCTTCCCACATGGATGTTGCAGGGACTGCTTTGGCATTTCCCTCCCCTAAGGGACAGCCACTGCAGCAGGACTGGACTGGGGAGGGTGGGGCCTGCGCTGGGGAGGGTGTCTCCTCTCCCTTGCTGCTGCTGGAATGGGAAGGAGAGTTGTTGAGAGAGCCAGAACTGTCCGAGGGTGGAAGCTGGTGAAGCTGACCTGTGGGGAACAGGGAGAGAGGGAGCATGGCCCAGTGGGTAGGCCCTATGTAACTCTGAGGCCATCAACCCTGCCACAAAGGCTGAGACCCCAAGAGAGAAGTTGAGGTTGGGTCAGGGGCCTGGTAGTGCAGCTGAGGAGGGGGACAGGCCGGCCTCCTCCCACTGGGACCCAAGCTATAGCTTCTGACCCTCCAGAGCTGCCTGGTGCCTCAGCCTGGTCAGAGGTGGAAACTCACCTGCCAGCAGGGCCCAGTGTGCCTGAGTTCTGACTGCGGGGATCTGCAGGACACAGAAGGATGGGAGGTCATCAGGGCCTGGGGACAGGCAGGAGTGGTAGGGTCTGGGAGGCTGGGAGCAGACCCTCCTAACCTGCCCCATGGCCTCCATGGCTCCCAGAACCCCCATGGCTGCAGCTCAGACATGGGTTGGGCTTCAGAAAGAAGTGAAGCTGCGTGAACGGAGATGGCCCAGCAAACCCTTTCTGTGTAAACTTCCGCCACAGCCCAGCTGTCCAGCACCAGCATGTGTATCTGGGGCAGGGGGCTCAATAGAAGGTCTGGGAGGCCTGGGCTCTGGCCAGCAGGCTACTGGGATCACAGGTGCCAGCCCCTCCATGTCTCCGGAGTCCTGGATCTGCCTCCAGGGACCAAAGGAGAAAGGACCAGGCTAGGCTCCTTCCTTTTTGTTCTTCCCTCTTGGGGAAGGCTCCTAGAAAGTCCCCCTTCTCTGCTGCCCAAGTGCCTGGATATTACCAGTGGAGTTAGCTTATTTGGGCCCACAAGATGGGATGGCTCCCAGAGCCGTGGGACCTGAGGCCTCCCAGACAGTGTCTAGCCACCTTCACAACTGGCAGAACAATTTCCTTGGTTTTCAACAACTTGAAAAACATATGTGATTTTCCACAGTCCGGTGCTCCCCAGGCCTGGCTGCTGAGTGAGCAGAGTTCATGCCGAATTCCTTCCACTCACCACAGGGCAGACAGCAAGCCCAGCTGTGGGGAGACTCAGCTGGGGTGGGGGTCACCACAGCGAGGCGCGGAGGGGCAGGCTTCCAGCACTGATGAGTAATTCTGCAGCCCGAAGATCTGGGAAGAGGGCATGTGACAACTTGGTGCAGCAATCCGCCCAGTGTTAGGTCAGAAGGAAAGAGCGGTCGTTCAAAATGGAGTCTGGTGGCAAAAATAATGTTTGGCCCCACCTTATACCTCCCTCAAAATTAACTCCAGATTAATGAGGTAGATGTTAGAAGAGAAACCAGGGAAGGACTGCAAGAAAATATCAAGTCTTTATTTACATCGTGAGGTTTCTTTTAGGTTTTATTTATTTTTTTGTTTTTGATATGGAGTCTCACTCTGTCACCCAGGCTGGAGTGCAGTGGTGTGATCCCAGCTCACTGCAACCTCTGCCTCCCAAGTTCAAGTGATTCTCCTGCCTCAGCCTCCCAAGTAGCTGGGATTACAGGCACATGCCACCATGCCCGGCTATTTTTGTTGTTGTTGTTGTATTTTTAGTAGAGATGGGGTTTCACCATGTTGGCCAGGCTGATCTCAAACTCCTGACCTCAAGTGATCCACCCGCCTCGGCCTCCCAAAGTGCTAGGGTTACAGGCATGCACCACCAGGCCCGGCCTGTGTGCCTGGCCTATATCTACATTCTTTTTGTTTTTTTTTTTTTTTTTTGAGATAGAGTCTTGCTCTGTCACCCAGGCTGGAGTGCAGCGGCACAATCTGCGGCTCACTGCAAGCTCCGCCTACCAGGTTCATGCCATTCTCCTGCCTCAGCCTCCCGAGAAGCTGGGGCTACAGGCCATCCGCCACCACGCCCAGCTAATTTTTTGTATTTTTAGTAGAGACAGGGGTTTCACCATGTTATGTCAGGGATGGTCTTGATCTCTCCTGACCGTCTCGTATCACCTGCCCCCTTGGGCTTCCCACAAAGTGCTGGGATTACAGGTGAAGCCACCACGCCCAGGCCTGATTTACATTCTGATGGGGAAGTTCTCAAGGAAAAGACAGAGAACCTGTTGGTTGCTAAATTTTTTACCTTCTGTAGCATCGCTCAAAATACACTGAAAATGAAAATAAAGACGCAAAGGAAAATACTGGGAAAGAAGTGCAGCGCTTAGGAGTGAACTATTCGCTGCCTCAGCTGTAGTTTTTAGGAAGCAGTCTGTGGGCTCGCTCGATATGCATGTTGAACCTCCACTCCATACTCACGGTACTGTTCTCTCTGTGAACGCGTCTGTTTCCTCCAATAACAATAATAATCGGTACACTATCCGTGCTTGCAAAATCCACCAATTCACGTAAGATAATCTGGATGAGTCATGCCTGAAAAAATAGGTAAGTCTCTTGATAAAAGAAAGCTGCTATTATAAGCTTTTTCCTTTTTTTTTTTTGAGATGGAGTCTCACTCTGGCGCCTAGGCTGGAGTGCAGTGATGCAGTCTTGGCTCACTGCAACCTCTGCTTCCTGGGTTCAAGCAATCCTCCTACCTCAGCATCCTCAGTAGCTGAGACTAC